TTGCGCATTAGTTTCTGTTATGGATCAGTATCAACAGTCCTGCCAGTAACGTTACTATATTATCAATGCTGCTTTAGTTATAGCCTGATATATGATAGCTAACTTTACAATGTTGTGATGTGACGTTAGCTAACATTCTGTAGCTAACGCCGGTCACTCACCAAGATAGCTGCCCAGTTCTCCACTGGTTCTCCTCACACCACAGCTCCATTTCTCTCCGATGGCCGTTATTTCTTCTAATCCTTGGCTGCTCCTGGTCTCTTGGACGCCTAGCAGGCTCATAATTATAAGGTTGTGGTCCATCATATGCATTCGAATATTCATGTTCAACTTCTTCTGTGTCGAAACTAGCATTGGGATCCATGTTTATTAATACGTTACACCGGCCGCTCTCCCCCTTGTGTCCCCCGTGTTACGTCACACGCGGGAGGTCACGTGCCGAGGCTTTTTTATGCGGAAGTGAACATTTCTTACAAAAACGACGCCAGATGTCACTGTAGTGTATATTTCTGTATATTTTTTTGAAAATCTAGTGTATTCATCCTTTTCCTACACATTTATTCACAGGTGTCCTTAATCTGGAAGTTGCTCTTTAAGACTAATAAGAATGATAATATTTGGGTGAATCAGTCAGCGTGTCTCACCTTGTTCTTGGTGTATCTGGCTCTGCCTGCAGCAATTCCCAGACGGATAAAATAGGCCTCAAAGTCACTGCCTGACCCCAGTTTACTGATCCTACAGTGCAGCAGAGTGAAGGACAGACTGTTTGAGTGATTTGTTTCATTACTTGTTATATTTTACATTCAAAATATGTTTGTTTACAGCCTGACTCTGACCAGAGCAAGCTACTTTATACCTGGGTGCATCACGGTTATCCGTCCAGTTGTCCCTCTTATGCCAACTCTCGTACAAAGAAACTCCTTCCTCTCCTTCCTCTGGACTGGCTATCTACATGCAAACACATAAAGTATGAAAGTGAGCATGAAGACTAAATTAATCATTCTCAAAGCAGTTTGTTAAGTACCCTTCCTTTTGCTTCTGCTTACCTGTTTGGTGAGGTCATACACCAGCGTGTGTAGAGACGGAGTGCAGTCAACCCTCAGTGTGTACATTCCTGGAAATCAAATTGAAATGTTTAAAAAAACACATAAGACACATCAAAACAAATGTACTACTAACTGTGCACACACTCACCCTCAATGGCAGAGTCGGCATTAATGTAAGCCACAGCTCTCTCCTGCAGCAGCTTGGCGTTATCCTGTTGAGAAAGGTGAATGTTGGTCAAGTGTGTGTGGGTTTGAGTGTGTACAAGTGCAAGTGTGTGAATGTGTATTATGTTTAAGTACCTCTGCCCATTCTGTAGATCCCTGCAATCCAAACTCCTCTGCATCCCAACTTGCAAATATTAAAGTCCTCCTAGGCCTCCATCCTACACACACACACACACACACACACACACACACACACACACACACACACACACACACACACACACACACACACACACACACACACACACACACACACACACACA